CCAAACGTTGTATCCATCAAAACGATACAATACAGTACAGTACAATACAATACGATACATTATGAAACGATGGGGAACAATGATCCAAACACAGTGTAAATTAATCCACATTTGATATTATACCAAATTAACAAATACATGATAATTATTTTTGCATAAACTTCGATTACTAAGATAGTTAATTATGTATTCTTACTTATATTCGCAACATATTTTGGCCTACACATAGGGGTTTACACAGAAAATGAAGGAAACAAACAGAACTAGGTCAACAGTAAATAGTACTTTAAAATTAAGAGAGAAATGAAACCTTGGAGAGGCAGAGACAGTGACAAGTTTGGTGAAAAGATCAGGACGAGCGATTGAAGCAGTGACGCCAATCATGGCAGAAACAGAGTGACCGACGTAAATGCAACCAGGAATTTTGAGGTCCTCTAAAATCGCAATCACATCATAAGCATAGCCTTCTAGACTAGAATATCTCTCGAAGTCAAAGTAGTCAGGATTAGTTGTTCCAGCACCCATATTGTCAAACAATATGATCTTATAATCGTCAACCAAGTGAGGAACCAAGTGTTTCCACACCGACTGGTCTGTTCCGAACCCATGGGCTAACACTACGGTTTGCTCACCTGATCCTAGGATCTTCACGTTGTGTGCTTCTTCGACTATACCCATATTTAACTATTCCACTTTTCTTCACTAATTTGTTTTAGCAGCCACAGTTATAAGTAGTAGGAATATTTGGGTTTGTTCTTTGATGTGGGGGCGAGGGGGTGAGACTTGAGACTTGAGAGGACCTGAGGGTCGGTTTGTGTGAGATTTTTTAAAGCCTATTTTTTTTAATTTTTTTGTTGGTGAATTTATATTCTCACGGCCGATAGTATAATGAACTAGTTAATTTATTTGCAGTAAAAATTATTATTTATAAATTAGTCCATAAAGAAAAAAAAAGAAACATGATAGATAATTAAAGAAATTTTTTATCTTTAATTTTACAATTGTATAATTTTGATATAAATTTAATATTGATAGGAGAAGAAACTTTATAAAATGGATTAAATTACACTAAATATTTATTATACGAAAACTACTAAAATATTCATAATTTTAAAAATATATTCGTTTGGTAATAAAAGTTGAACCATTTAATTAAATCATAAATTCACTTGTGCTGATATGATATAAATAAAGTAATAATATCTTATAGTCAAGGGCGGTTCTAGGGTAAGGCAAGTGAAGCCCTTGCCTTAGGCCTCCAAATAATTAAGGCCCCAAAAATAAAAAAATACAACTATATTATTATATAATATATACTCCATAATTTATATTTATATAATTATTAATAAAAGATTTCAAATTTTAATAATTTTTAACATTAGTAGACATAAGATTGAGTGAGTTAATTGGATAAATTTTTCTCACTAAATTAAATAATATATTTACCTTCTCATCAATTTTATTTTTATTTCTTTATGTATAGTCTTTTTTCATGGTTCTTACGATTTTACTTTCTAATTTCAATTCTAATTCTCTAAATTAACTATTTCTTTTTGTCACATTTGATTGATCCACACACCAGAAAGCAAGTTATTTTGTGTCTCATTTTTTTTAACTAAGAAATCCCCGAGGCAAATGTCGCAAGGTTCAAAAAATGATGAATAATGGGCTCATCGTTTACCATTTTCACTTAAGGGAAGAATTAAATACTATATGACATAGGGGAATTTTAGAGTATCTTTCATGGAATGATTGGGTATTTGAGGTGCGGTATGCATTCAGACGACGGAATTAGGATCAGGTATGATGATTCATGTGCTATATGGATTTGGAGACAGGGAAGTTCTCACATTCTGGCTATGTTGTGGTTGTGAGTTATGTGTATCGGCACTATTTAGTGACTATCGGGTTTGGAGACCCGAGCGGATCTTTTGTGCTTGGCATGTTAGATTTTGGATGGGATATTGGGTTCAGACTGGTTTTCTCCGTGTTGTGTCATTCTGGACTATTACACTAAGGCGGCATTGTTGGCTATGCCAAAAATGCCACGGATTGAGTGGCGAGGTCCGTAGGATTATGCCCTAGTGGAGTGGTTTTATATTTCGAAGACACAGCGGACGGTTGGGAAGGATTGTCTTTCTTATTTGGGCTTTCGTGATGGATGTCAGTGTAGAGGCTTCTACCATTGATTCAGTTCCGGTGGTGAGAGACTTTTCGAATGTGTTTTTTGTGGCTGGGCATGTCGCTGGGTAGGGTTGTTGATTTTGGTATTGATTTGATGCCGGGCACCATATCGTATGGCACCGGCAGAGTTAAAGGGGTGGAAGGAGCAGCTTCACCTTGATAAGGAGTTCGTTGGTAGGCCAATGTGGATGCATGTTCTAACTTAAGTCGGCTTGGTTGGCTCCGAATTGTATTATTGAGAGAGGTGTTGATTCGTTTGTGAGCTTATTAGTAATCCGGGGAGGCTTATGAGTTACCTTTCCGTGTTGCGAGGTATTAGGATTTGTTGGTTATCGGCACATGTGGTGCGGTGTTATCGGGGTCTCTAGGCAGAATTCGAGCGGGAGGAGTATTGGATATTGCTTGGCGGATGGTGCATTTGTTATGCCCTTTCAGGTTGTGTGGTGTTATGTACTTGCTTTACCGTAGTTATGATGATTTACTTTGATTCTAGACATCAATTGCGCGTGGTCATCAATTTCGAGCAGAGTGACTTGAGGTGTTCCATGTGGAGCAGTGTTTGGATAAGGTCGCGTATTACAGCGAATATATGTGGAGGTATGACCTTGCAGGTTAGATTTGTATGTTCTGTTCCTATGATGTAAGATGGGTTCTCAGCTTTGTGTTGTGGTGGTACTGGTGAGCTTGAGGTACAGCTCTTTCATTTGAGTCATTTTCATGATTTGAGTATGTTCGAACCATTGCTTATTGGTGCGTGTATTATGCAAGTTATGGCTTAGGCCTATATTGATGTGTCATGTCACCAGAGTGGTGTGTTGGATTAGAGGAGATCGTTGGGATCATTAATGAATACGAACAGATTCGATTTCAGCATGTTGGAAGGATAATATCGAGGTTCAGCTCAAAACTTTGCTATGGCATTTGCCAAAGGAGAAGTGGCTTCATGAATGGTTGATCTGAGAAATGGTTATGGTTTATTGCGTGTTTCATCTATTGTTGGCAGTATATGAAAGTGTTGGAATGAAACTTTAGTTGATAAGAGGTTTTCTACTGGTATTCGGTTGTTGTGGGCAGCTGCTGTGAATAGAAGTTATCGCTACGAGCATTTGAGTTACGTGGTTTATCATGTAATTGCACCTAAGGTTGCAGGTATTTGTCATTACAGCTGTTTCGGGCTTATTCTCAATATAGATGTGAGATTCTGATCTTGTGGATGATATTGGAAGTGGAAATAAGGTTCTAAGGTTTATGGGCTAGGTTGGATTGTGAAATTTTAGTTGTATTGTGTTATCAGACCTATATGAGATAGGGTGACGTGGGATCACCCCCGGGTATATACATGGTAAAGTTATTCAGCAATTGGTTGGCTTCTGAGAAAACTCTGGGCACGTTCGTCACGAACGTTTGTTTAAGTCGGGGAGGATGTGATGACCCGACCAGTCGTCTCATGAGTTACCGCTTCGTTTTTGTCATTTCAGCTTCTTTATGCTTCGTTATCCGTGTTTTATGTGATCGGGTTGATTAGTTTGAGTTCGGAGAGGATTTGGTAAGAAATGAGACACTTAGTCTCTTTTAAGAAGGCTTAAGTTGGAAAAGTCAACCGGATGTTGACTTATGTGTTAGAGGGCTCGGATGTGAGTTCCGATGGTTCGGCTAGCTTCGGGAGGTGATTTTTGACTTAGGCGATCGGAATGGGTTTTGGAGTTGTAGAGAAGATTTAGGCTTGAATTGGCGAAGTTGATATTTTGGCGATTTCCGGTTGATAGGCGAGATTTTGATATAGGGGTCGGAATGGAATTCCGAGAAATGCAGTAGCTTTGTTGTGTCATTTGGGATGTGTGTGCAAAATTTCAGGTTATTCGGACGAGATTTGATAGACTTTTTGATCGAAAGCATAATTTAAGAGCTCTTGGAGTTCTTGGGCTTGAATCCTATGTTAAATTGGTGATTTAATGTTGTTGTGAGCGTTGCGAAGTTTTGAACAAGTTTGAACAATGTCATGGGATATGTTGGTACAATTGGTTTGAAGTTCCGGGGGTTCCGGGTAGGTTCCGGGATGTTTTAGGCCTAAAATCATAGCTGTAGCAGGTCCAGAAGGGTTGTAGGCCTTAGAACCCACCAGCGCGGTCCGCACAAAATGAAGTGCATCCGCGGTAAGTGTTGTGCGGCCGCGGTGGGGAACATTTCACTGGTCCTACTTCGGAAGCTCATATCTTTTGATCTACAAGGAATTTTGAGATGATTTAAAAATAAACATTGTAGCTCTTTGTGTCTAGTTTCAAGAAAGGTGAAGATATCTTAATTTGGATATCTTTAGCGAAATTTATGGCCAAAATACTAAAGCTTGTCACTGCAGATAAAAACATGTACGGCCGCAGTCGTTTTTGTGCGGACCGCACTGGTTTTGTGCGGACCGCGATCGTTTTTATGCGGTCCGTAGAGGTAGAAATCCGTGGGGTACTCTATAAAGATGAGGTTTTAGGTTTTATTTAATATTTTAACCTAGAGAGCTCGGATTTTAGCGATATTTTTGAAGGTTTTTAAGAAATTCATCGGGGTAAGTAATTCTAACTTAGATTTGGCTAGAGTGCATGAATCTATCATTGAATTAATCATTTAATTCATGATTTGGGATGGAATTTGGGAAGAAAATTTGTCGAATCTTCCAAAAATATAAAATGATGATTTGAAGGAACAAATGGTACCGGAATTGGATAATTTTGGTATGGTTAGACTCGTGAGGGTATGAGGATTCTTAAAATGTAAATTTTACCCGATTCTGAGACGTGGGCCCGGGGCTCGTGTTTTGGTAATTTCAGGAATTGTGTCATATTTTGATTGTTTTCGCTTGGGCTTTGTTCCCTTAGCATATTTTGACGTCCATGTTCTGATTTTGGATAGATTCGACGCACGTGGAGGCCGATTTGAGGGGCAAAGGCGTCGCGAGCTAGAGATTTAGCCGGTTTGAGGTGAGTAATGATTGTAAATGATGTTCTGAGGGTTTGAAACCCCGGATTGTACATTGTTGTGCTATATTAAGGTGAGGAACACGCTTGATGACGAGCGTGGGGTCATGCACTATTGGGGATTGTGACTTGGTCCATCCCGATTGATGATTTTACCGCGTATTTGATTGAAAACTATTTGCTATCATCATTATTTGGGCTGAAAGCCATATTTGGGCCTAGTGCCAGCTATTTGAACCCTTCGGGGATTTTTGTTGATATTTCCTTATTGTTTTGACTTTATACTTGAACTCAGTCATGTTATTTTCCACTGTTTTCAAAACTCAGCCATGTTTACTCTGCTTTAACACTTGAAATGATATTTAAATAATATTTTGGGTTGAGCATTATGTTTTACTGTTTCCCGAGTGGCTTATGTGATTTTTGACTGAGTAAGGCCGAGGGCCTGTATTGTGAGGATACTTTTGGGTCAGGCTGCACACCGCAGCAGTGAGATATTGATTATGATAATGAGGCTGAGGGCCTGAG